TCTGCGGCACTCCAGACGACTGTATTGTTCTGCGAGTTTTAATGAGTGGCCCCTCAGGTTTGTATTACTGCTGAGTTGCAGTAAAGGGCGGCACACATGATGTGGGTCTCGCAGAATCAAGTATGCCATAATAAGGTCGCCTCGTAGTCTGCGATAGCTTCCACTGAACAATCCCAGTCGTTGCAGCCTCTCCTGGTAGGAAAGATTGCGCATTCCAATTACGTTCTTAGATGCCCGGGGTTGTGGCTGCTCCAGTGCATTAAGGTCGTGTTGCAGCCATGGATGCGGGGCTTGAATTGCATATTCGACATGGGTGCGAACATACGCACTGAGTATTTGTGGAAATATGGAGCTGTTTATTTGTCCAAACGCCCGCCTCACAGAGCTGTATGTGATGAGGATTCATCAATTCGGCCGTCCCCAATGAGTTGTCAGCAAACCGTGGCCGTGTAACTGTTGACTTTAACCGAATTTCTTCAAGCAGCCTCTCGCGGAATTTAGACCGGTTTTCCAAGTAATCGGTGTTATTTGTTCAGCTTAAATCGGCATATTTATCAGCCGGGAAACGTTCCCTTTATAATTGGATGACACTGAAATGCTAGTCAACCGAATCGCAACATAGAGCCGAATGACAGTTCCTGGTGGATATAACTCCCGGCCGTGTATCTCGGCCTGCTCAGAAAGGAATTTTTGAAGCACAAGAACCCTGTAAAAATAAGCGTTCTTTTATCGTCAGATTTACGAACTTCCTCACAATCGACATTTTCTTTCGGCCGTTCAATCCAAAGGTTGTCAGGAAGTATGCCACCTCGTGTGCTGAGTTACGGAGCCGATTTGAAGATAGTTGAACGGCCTCTGTGTCATCAGCGTCACCCGGAGAATTTGAGCTGGGGCTCGTCTCAGCGTCGTGGGCTCAATCGAAAGAGCATTTGCATCACAAATAGAATTCCACAGGTTACCGTCGTCCATAAATTTCCTATTTTTGGTACTAGACCGCGATTCTGGAACATTCGTGCACACAAAAGTCACAACACCGTGATTTCCTCTGTTGGCTGTAGATCTGAAGTCATTAGATGACACCGTTTTAAACGGATTGTTTTTTGTGAAGGCTACGTCAACCTAATTTTGCTCGGTGGTGCTACCATAGTCATGGTGTTTCCTCTGGTGTTTGCATGGAAGCAACAAATGCGTACGATATCCGGCATTTCTCCATGGTGGGCGTGCTCGAGCTCGGAGCTGCCATCATGGCCACTGACTTGATGCATGTTAAACCTCCAAAAGGAGTGGAAGCATGCATGCTTGAAGCTTCTCCGCTTACGGGGTTGACATTAGCCAGAAAGATTGGAGACACAGATGCTGTAGTGTGGTTGGAGCGAGTGCCTCTCCATCTTTAGGCGGAGATGGCTGGCTGTGGTATTGGCGAGGGGCCATCTTATTCAGCAAATACACTATTGCCTCCGCCAACGTGTCGCAATTCTCAATGAACACATATAAACAGTTGACAACTGGAATGACTTGAGATGTTGGACAAAACCAAACTGCGTCAGAAACGGCTTATCAGTCTCCATTCGTAAACGGATTTTCCTATACATTTCGGATGGAACAAATTTCCACAATTTTAAGAATTTTACCGTAAATATCTAAAGAGCAAACGCAGCCATGCATCATGTTTAGAATACTGGCTGCACTTTTCTAGTCCCGTGCACATTGTGAGGGTTATGGTATGGAACATTGGAGTAACATACTATACCTCCTTCAACTCTTCGAATATGTTTCATACCAGTTTGCAAAGGCCAAGTAAGTAAAAAAAATTGCAAGGCATTGACTCTACGGAATACGAGCAAAAGTGAGTAGGTTTGTAACTAGACCTATGTCGAACTCATCCGCAATCACCTGTGTAGAACAGATATAGCTATGAAAACAGCTGCCAAGACCCACGATTTCATTCCCTGTGGCTGTGCCGAGTGAGAAAAAATCTCCTTCTTTTCATAACATTATGCATTCCCGGGTGTCCGCGACCGGAGCAGTCCTGTCACTGCAACACTCCTCTACCTCTCCCACAAGTAATATGGGTTGCTCAAAAATAAACGGTTCAAATTTTTCATGGTAAGGTAAGCTCAATCAAGGAACAAACTGCCAATACAAATGCGAGCAAGTGAGAGTGCAACCAAAAGTAAAATCAAAATTGCAGGCTTCTCTCACTATGCCGAATAGAATAAAAGCATTCAGTTTCAGTTGCCTATAGATGAGCAATTGCATCTGGACCAAACGATATATGATAAATGGTGCGGTTTCGCTCCTTCTCAGCATAACTTCTGTTCTACTCAAAGTGCCAAATTTGAAGCCCCACCTGCTTAGTTACCACCAGTTTTGTATGCATTCAATATTCTGCGTGGCCACGCCGACTTGACATTTCGAACATTCAAGTGCGATCTGAAAACGGAAGCCAACGGAATCACTACATTTTGTCCTCTCATTATCATGGCTGCTTTATCTAATCGGCAAAGCCAACCTTACAGCTTCACTTATAGAGGCATGATAGAAGGTAAAGCAAACGGCATACGTCCTACCTCACACTCGTCCTGCAAAACATTTGACATTTTGCCAGGCCATGCCATTCCAAATATTCTCACAATCAATTGCTTTCTGAAAGAAGACAATTTAGATGCCGTAGCACTCCTATAACAACATTACGTTTTCCGTTACAAGATCATGCAAACTCTTAATCTCTACCTGTAAGTGAAGGTTAAAAGGAAAGCCACTGATCCCACCTAACCTTTCAGCCACTCCGTAACACACAACACTTTTTGCTTGATGGTGTTTAGCTGAAGTTCATTTCTAAGAACCTGTCTTAGCTCCTTCTTCTGTGAACACTCCTTGGCGTTCCACAGCCAAAGCAGCTGAAGCTTTGAAAACTCCTAATGAGCCATTCTGAGGTGTCAATCCTAGCTTTCTCCTCTTATATCATCCCAATACAATTGCTCTTACTATAGGGTGTTTAACAGCCCGAAGCGAATTGTCCCGTACTACTTCGGTTTATTATGCCTGCCTTCATACCCCAATAGAGAATAATCGTTTGATTTTGTCTGGCGTCATAAAAGGTTTCTTCCCTCATCATCACCGTCCTTCCATCTGCACCGTGATCAAACGTCAGTGAATGCTCGGGAACTGGTGTACAATGACAATGAAAGCCATAATGAAAATTTTTCACAAAGTCATCTGTAGTGAATCCCTACATAAAAGCCAGTCATCCATTGTTCGCATGCATGATCGTGTTGTGTATGTAGATAAGATCCGCCGAATTGTGCGTACGGTTTCTAAGTACCGCTGGAAATAAACGATTTAACACATTTCCATACAAAATTTGCTTGAACGTGCCCTCTCCGGAACTGGCAATTATAATCTTCCACGTTGTGTGGTAGTGCTCATCAGCTGATAAAATCAGCCAAACTTTTACTAGTAACTTATGGCAGCATTATCTCTGCGGACTTGCAGTAACATTGGATACAAATGTCATGGACTTTGTGTACTTCTGCGTTTATCCGCTGTAATGAATCGGCTTACAACAGCATTGCTCACTTCTGCACATACAGATGTTAGCCATTCAAAACTTGCACTTAGCATATGTAGGTAGGAGTTAATATTGGCTAATTTGGCAAATACTTTCCTGCGACGGCTACTACAGCAATTTGAGCTGGTGCCATTCGGTCGTTGGTATTTTAACTGTCTCACTTGATGCTTAGACACAAGATAACCTGCTGCACGCCACCAACATAATACATTGCTGAAATATAGTTTTTTAGATGACAAAGTAGTCTAGCGTTTGTAAAGTAAATTATATAACAGAATAGCGAAGTGCTGTCAATAGCTAATCAGTTGCCTACGCATCCCAGCAACACCTAGATGCAAACGAGCACTTTAAAAAACTAGTTACTTTATTGTATTGCTCAACAGGGAATCGGTGTGAAACCCTTGGGATTTCTCGGTCTAGTGATTACAACTTTCTTATCTAGAACAAACGACGCGGATTTCGCGTGCTCGTGGTAAGGACGAATTCTGACCACAAAACTCACCGGAACCCAAGACAGTGAAAAGAAGACAATGAATACTTTACGGACAGAAATTGCAGATTCAAGGTTGCACAGCCTCAGTTATATACCGAGGCTAGCACGATACGTAAATCACACACTGGACGGTAGGTGCGTGGTTTTAATGCCTATTTGTGGAACGAGTGAACTTACATGTGTGTTTGATTTGTATGAAAGGAAAAATAGTGTGTAGATTGTGCGATTTGATGGGGGTGGCTCTCATGGCTTTGTGGGGATTTGTGTTCTAACGCTAGGACACAATCAGTTTTGTAAGGTTAGGTGGCATAAGTGAGCTGAGAATACGTATAAACGTATGTATTATCCATAGAGATCTACATGAAACAATTAGTAAACTTTCATAAGTTCTACTTGCTTAAAAATCCAAAAGCTAGTGGTAAATTCAAAAAATCGATCGCACTCGAAGTATTTCTAACCAGCTAAACAAAAGACCAATTCATTTTCACCGTTATCTTTGGGGCGCTAGAAATCTCCACGAAATAAAATATTACGCTTGTATACTGACCAAATTCAGTTTACTTGTTAATATGCAGAAAACACTTTGAGCAACGGAAGATACATGATTTTAGATAGACAGCCAAATCGTACTGGAGCTGGCAGGCATTCTAAGGTTGTGTTTGCACTCATTAAAACATTGATTGGATTAGTGTCAGTCGTAAAATAGTCGCCTTTTGCCAAGTTCATTGCTAGAGGCGCTCACTTGTACCCACGCTGGGACCATGCATGTGAGATGTCCTCCTACCAAATGAAACAGTTGCTCAGGGAAGGTCAGGCAGATGAGCAACCAATTACTACTATTAGATCGAGTAAAGCTATAAACCAATCATATCCTTTGGGGAACGCGATGAGCGATGGATGTGTGTCTGCCTTTGTTGTCAGAGTTGGGATAGGATAGAGTCTCTTCGCATGATAGGTTCCAATGGTTAGAACCGATTGATTGTGAAACTATGCGCCGAAAGAGGAGTTAGCCAGATTCTTGTTCAGTTAACGATTTAGACAACAGCAAGATTTCTGTCTCAGATTTAGTTGAAATTTGCTGCCACTTTGTCAGTCGTTTAGTACAATGGAGATGATAACATATTTAAAGAGGCGCTTCTCTTCGGGCGACTTACAAGGTGAAGCGGCTGACAAGAGGGAGCATGAGGGTCTGCCAGGGTTTCTGCGTTTTGGGAATACGGCCCAAACTCCGGCTGCACCAGCAAATCCATCTCATCAACCAAGTTCGGTCCACTCGCAGCAGTATCCCCAGAGATGGCAAGATAGTCACGTAGGTAATTTACAACAACAGCGAGGAGCTGAACCTATGCTGACTGGACAATATGCATCAGATAGCAGTCACACTTCAACTGTAGAGGCTAAGAAGGAGGCTAGAGTTATGTTTCGCGGGAAACATGATCAGTATCCTAGTGCACCCGCTTCACCCAGTAGAGGTCATGGAATGTCTGCTTCTTTTATGGGACCTGTGAGTAACATTACGGGACAAATCTCGAACACAATTATGGGAGGATTTTCTCACATTACCTCTAACCCCTCCGGTCCGACAACAAGCAAAACTAGCACCAACAAAGAACGACAGAAGGTGCTTTTGGTGATTGACGACTCTCAGACAGATTGGTAAGTCCTACAGTATTTCGTGTGATAGGAAGGTAAAAATAATAGAATATATTAACCGGTATACTCCTCGACATTGCAAGGCCTGATCCAACTGAGGGGTCTGATCAAATAAAGATAAACCAATCATATGTGTCTACTTTAGTACAACAAATGGTGTTGCCATTCGGAAGGACAATTGTCATAGGGACTAGGTTAAAGTTAATGTCAAAGAGTGTAGTTCATTCTGAACTCACGTTTAGGTAGTAGAACCAATATTCAGAATGACGGGAATAAGTGAACGATCGTTTAAAGTTAACTAGTTTGTGTGTTTGCAAATGGTTCGCGTTACAGCGTCACGTAAACTTAGTATGACCCGGGTACACTGAGTTTCGCAGGCATGTTAGTAAGCACTGACTGTTTACTCATTCGTGATTCAGTTACAGTATGAATAAAACGCGCTAAATTGTTGACGTGTGCCACTTTGAGATTGATTTTTTTTGAAAGACGAAGTATTCTTTTACTTAAAATTTTGCAAGTGCAATAATAAGGAGTGCGCCCGGGGGCTCCATACGGGATCATGGTTTAATTAGACCGAAGATAACTAACAAAAATCGGGTAAACTAATAAACAAAAACGAATCTGTGAGAGTAGAAAAGGGACGTTGGTGTAGTTGATAGTTTGTATGCGGAAAAGTGTCAAAATGGTTTTTTACTAAAAAGGCTTATAAGGGTGTATTTATTTAGCTTTAGCAAAACATGTTTTAGTATTTATAGCAGAAAGGTGGTGGCGAATTTGCAGCTACCCTGGAATCTGAAAAATGTCTCCAATGCAAGCAACACCGAATCCGAATAGGTGACACATAGGAAAAAGGACAGGATGTCTTGTAGAGTTTGGATTAGGATGAGTGAAGCAGGTTCTGTAACTGCTAGATTGAAATTCTGGTTCCTGTGGTACAACTGCATTCAAACAGGATAGCTGATCCATGACTTAATTAAAACTGCTGGAACCAATCTTAGGGAGATGGAAAAGGTTGCAGATACGTAAATACTAACCATGGTTAAAAAGCCTCCGGCCAAAAGCGATATTTTGCAGCCCACTAAAAATGTGCCTGAGCAGGACATGGAGAAATGCACCAAATGATTTCCTGCTGAAGCTGCACTACAGAGTGACTAATAAAACGGGTAAAATTTTAATTGCTGCAAATGATCCAGACATTTTACCATTGGCTCATACATCTAGTCTTCTGCAACTTAGCAGCGTGAATGACATTGGAGGAGTTGCACTATCATACAGATCTTAATCGTTCTCGACGGTTAATATCGAGCGCTAACGGACAAGTGACACAAGTCAACTAATGCAAGTTTGGTGGTCGCTGGTCCAAATCCTGCAGGATTCGAGAGGAATACGCCTTGTGGACCAACCCCACCTGGACGAACTGGGCGTCCAGCGCTCTTCCAGAAGGGTGGATTCCGGCTGAATGAAGCCAACTGCAGCGAAGCTTCCTAAAACATAATGAAATACCTCATTTGCACCTTCATTGTCAGTTCTATTTAGAACGTACACCTAGTAATAACACCGGCGTAAATTTCTAAAGTCATGTGCAAATAAAACACGTGTAGTAACATATTTCTAAGGAGCATTTTAACCTAAGTGCACATCTACTGTACTTGCTAATCATTTGCCTGTCACTCAAACACAAATACTATTTGACCTCATACAAATCATCGAACGAGCTTCCACACCCAAATTTAGTTTCTCAAATTTGATCTCTTGAGTGCTATCCGCTTGCAGCATTGCAATCCACAAAAGCTGTCGTAATTGTTTACGTTCAGCAAGTAGATGTAGCAGGACTGCGACTTCAACCCGTGATGTTGGAATTTCAACTGAGGTTTCTACAGCTGAGCCGCAGCGTCGCATCTGGCAAACATCAGACATGACATGGGGCCTTTACGTACTAGCCCAGCGCAGAACATTTCACAGAGTAGGTAGCACAGCACAACAACTCTGCGTAGTTGGTTCGTGGGGACAAGTTGACACAACAGCAGTAGCTTACGAAACGATTCTTTTTAAGTCACAAGCTTCTTTACAGATACGTGTATAGCCATCGTAAGGTGCAGCGGGGAATCCGGCTACTCCCTACGGTGAGTGGGTATACACCTACGGATAGAGAGAGGCGGCCTAAGCTTGTAGGACCCAGTACTCAAGCTACTTTCGACAGAATGCTATGTTTAAACACCATTTCTGACTTTTGCTCGCCATTAAGTTTAATCAGCATCACCTTCACTGCAGAAACGGTACGAAAAAGCTGCTATACTTGCGCACGCACAGCTCTCATAAGGTAGATAACATTCACCTAAAACATTGCAGGTTTCACCCAAGACATACCTAGCAAAACAAATAAATGGATGATTTCAGCGCTGTCCTGAAGAAAACACAGTTGTAGCAAAGTGGAAACGTGGTATTATCAACTCTGTTCACAATGGGCGAAGTAGATGTAAACTTACCAAATGCTGCTTAATAAAGCTTCTCACTGCCTTCGGGAAGGCCATAGAAACGATCATGGTAAACACAACGATATTTTATCTGGGGAGCTACGGAGCACACGGAGCAGCACTGCTTCTTCTAAATCGATATTGGAACAAGAACCGATGTCATCTACTTGGAGGTTTCGAAAAATTCGACCGTTTTGATCGAAATACCCTTCTTGACACACCAGCATCGGGTATCCAGTATTGGAATTGATCGGTAACTTTCTGAGTGAGGGTTTATTGAATCTTAGCGTTAGAACATATTTGTTCAAACATCTTTAGTGGAGCGCGGTGTAGCGTAGGGTTCGGTAGTTGGGCCTCGCCTGTTATCAGTCCTTACTAGCTGTTTAGCTAGTCAAGAACTAGTATTGGGTAACCTTAGCGAACGACGTTAAGATTTAGTGTGTCATCAAATGCTTGAGGGCACATGAGATCTTCCAGCGTGACCCCAATGAGGTTTACAAGCTTGGGGCACACGATCTGAAGACCACCACTCAGGAACGCGACTTGGATGTGCTGGTACAGGAAGTCCTCGGGTGTTCCAAACAGTCAGATACCGCTTCTAAAAGGGGCAACCAGCACGTTGGACTCCTGCGAAGAGCATTCGGAATTTTGGATGCATCCATCTTCTCTTTGATGCTGAATGCCTACGTGCGTCCTCACGTCGAATATGCAATCCAGGCCTGGCAACCCTGGCTAAAACGTGACCTTGCAGCGCTTGAGACCCCACAGCGTCGAGCAACGAAAATCGTCAAGGGCTTGCGCCACACTCCTTACCAGGAACGACTGGAGATACTCGGAGTGTTCAGCGGACGGTACCGGCGACTTCGTGGAGACCTCATACTAGTGTACCAGATATTGAGCGATCCCAGTCACGTATGCCGCCACCTCGTGAAGCTCAGCCCGAACACTAACCTTCGCGGTAACAGTTTAAAGCTGAGCCAACAGTACAGTCGTCTAGTCTGTCGGAGAACCTATTTCTCCCTCCGGGTCTGCGGGCCCTGGAACGCCCTTCCAAACTCAGTTGTTTGTGCCCCCACATTAGATACGTTTAAAACACGATTGGACGTCGCACTGAGCCCCCTGCGCTTTGTTTTATGAACGAAAACGCTTGTATATATTTAGGCTGAGCAGCCTCTTTGGATTTATACCCCAAATTCACGGTCGTAAATCTGTGCGAACCGGTGAGTACTCAATTTTTATTTGCTACCATCACCAACGATAACAATTTCTTAGCCAGTTTTGCGTCGTACCACTTTATCCCCCCTAAAACTGCTATACTTCTACCTTTTATCTCACTGACGCTCCTTACTTCAACCACTTATGTGGTTTGCCAATCTGTTAATATTTCTATTGCCAACCTACGGGACTCGTTAAGTGTATGCTTTTTTACCCGTCATATACCATTGTTCCATTGTTCCATTGTACCATTGTTCCATTGTTCCATAATCGGTTAGAAACGCACTGCCACTCAATGTGGACAAGTATTCACTTGTTCACAACCTCAGCCGACACGTCTGTATCAACAAGCTTGTGGCGCATGATCTGCAGGTCAACAGTTAGAAAGGTGACCTTGGTATGCTGGTGCAGGACGACCTCGCATGGTCCGGGCACACTGTGTTCATAACAAAAAGAGGGAAACAGCGTATTGGTCTCTTGCGGAGGGCACTCAGGAATCTAGATTCATCCACCTCATCTGGTGTCCAGCGCCTTTTTGCACTTCAGGTCGAGTACACTATTCAAGCATGGAATCCGTGACTAAATTCTACCCTCGCTGCGCTCGAAAATACCCAAGGTAGGGCAACAAAAGCTGTCAAGTGTTTACGAAATCTTTCGTGTCAGGAACGGCCAAAGAGACGCGGGATGTACAGTGGAAGCTACCGGTGGTTACGTGGAGAACTTATATCAGTTTATCAAATACTGAGGGACCTCAATCATGTATGTCGCCACCTATTGAAACCTAGCCCGAACATTAAGGTCAGAGACAATAGCCCGAAACAGTCAAAAATACAGTCATCTAGATTGTCGATTAAGCTATTTCTCCCTCCGGGTCCAGCCATGGAACATCTTGTAAAACTCAGTTGTATGTGTCCCCAAAGTAACTCTTTTCAAAGAGGGCTGTATTGCACACTTTTCTCCCTGCACTTTGTTACCTAAGCGGATATGTTTGGATATATACAAGCTAATTTGCGCTTTTGCAACTATAACCCACAATGATGCATCTAAACCTGTTAGACGAGTAAGTGATCCGATTGTTATTTACAGTAAGCACTAGTCACAACGAGTTGTTATTCTTTTTTGCGTGGTACCATTTCACTCCCAAAATCCTATTTCTATATAGCATTTGCTACTACTACACCAAGGTGTATTTTTTAGCCCACGCGTGTAATCTTTGAATTTAAGATTGGTTCGCCCACCAACAGACGGGGACATGATGGGTCTATGCATTTTGACTTCCGTTTGAATCTACGGACATGGAAGCTGTATAACAAA